TTGACCTTGCTCGATCCACATAATTACACCTTCGGATCGGCCCTGCTCAATCCATGGATTTCCATCTTCATATCAACCCTGCTCGATCAAATGTTTGCTACACCTTTGGATCGACCCTGCTCGATCCATAGATTTACACCTCCGAATCGACCTTGCTCGATCCAACGGATTTACACATTCGGATCGGCCCTGCTCGATCCACGGATTTACATCTTCAGATCGACCCTACTCGATCCACATAATCACACCTTCGGATCTGCTTGATCCACGGATTTACATCTTCAGATCGACCCTGCTCGATCAAATGTTTATTACACCTTCGGATCGACCTTGCTCGATCCACAAATTTGCATCTTCGGATCGACCCTGCTCAATCCATGTAATTACACCTTTGGATCGGCCCTGCTCGATCTATGAATTTGCATCTTCAGATCGACCCTACTCGATCAATGTTTATTACACCTTCAGATCGACCCTGCTCGATCCACGGATTTACATCTTCAAATCGACCCTGCTCGATCAATGTTTATTATACCTTCGGATCGACCTTGCTCGATCCACGGATTTGCATCTTCAGATCGACCCTGCTCGATCCACGTAATCACACCTTCGGATCGGCCCTGCTCGATCCACAGATTTGCATCTTCAGATCGACCCTGCTCGATCCATGGATTTACACCTCCGGATCGACCCTGCTCGATCCCACGAATTTACATTTTCGGATCGGCCCTGCCCGATCCACGAATTTATACCTTTGAATCGACCCTGCTCGATCCACAGTTTCATCTCTGGATCAGCCTTGCCCGATTCGTGGATCCACACCTTCGATCGGCCCTGCCCGGTTCATGAAGCTACACAATCAGTTGGCCAGACCGAGTGAAGGGTTCTTACACCTCAAAATCGATAAGTCATCGACCTAACCCAACAGAGAGTTCACACGACTCAGCCACTAGGCTACACCAAAATCAGAACACAAGCATACAACTCAACTCCACCATCCTCACTCCCTAGGAACCAAGTATTAGATGTCCACTCTACCTAACCGACCGACCGACCAACTCAACTCCACCATCCTCACTCCCCAGGAACTAAGTATTGGATCTCCACTCAACCCGACCGACCGACCGACCAACTCAACTCCACCATGCTTACTCCCCAAGAACCAAGTATTGGATGTCCACTCTACCCGACCGACCGACTGACTCAACTCCACCATCCTCACTCTCCAGAAACCAAGTGTTGGATCTCCACTCCACCCGACCGACCAACTCAACTCCACAATCCTCACTCCCCAAGAACCAAGTATTGGATCTCCACTCTACCCAGCTGATCGACCGGCTGAACTCTACCATTCTCGTTCCCCAAGAACCAAGTATTGGATCACCATACTCCCTATGCCAACGACCGACCGATCGACTGACCCGATCTTTTCAAACTTTGACTATCACCACTCACCCCACCCCAGCCCACGCCACCGATCAACACACAGACTCAACCTGTCTAAAGATTCAATTGCCCTTCCTACCCAACTAAGCCAGCATATTGCAACAGGTTGGCTCCCGCAAGAAGCCGACACTCCCATGCTTCATGTCCAGGAGATTCTCCCAATCGGGGCGACTGGCTAGGAGCAGTCTCGCACTTGTTCACCCTCGAGGCAATCAAGCCAAGGGGCCTCGCTCATTCGGTCTTCCATAGCAGACGAGTGGGCAGCCATGGGTAAAATGTTTGCGCATTTTGTTTGGCCCTTTGGCATCTAGTAAAGAGCGCCGTGGAATCACAAGCGCAAGTCATACGGTCCAACAAGCCGGCCGAGTCGATTTCATCCCACATGATCACCCGAGTACCCCAACAGAATGTACCTTCAATTTAACATCGTCTCTAATTCATTCGATCCAGCATACCAAGCGGATACCCCTGCCATGGGATGCTTGCTCATTTCCCCAGTCAGCAGGACATACCGAACGAACACATGAGCCTCAGAAGTCTTGTTATCTCAGTCCCTTCAACCTTTCACACCGATTGAGCACACCCTCTTGGGGTGATTGCACATTCCGGATCAGCTTTGATACCGAGCAACCCTTGACTACGAATAACCTACATCAAACTGGTCAACTATGCCGACAATCGACCGTCCAGGAAGGGAGACCGAGCGTGCCTCGATCGCTTCCTACTCTCTGACTTAAGAAAAACTTAACTCAGAGAGTGGGGGGCAAACTGTTAGGGCCAAAAATCGTCTTTGGCCCAAATAGGAGAATAGGACTGAATGAGGAAGAGACAAGACCCAATCCCGATGCGACCCCATCCAGATTAGGCCCATTTGATATAAGATACAGTCGGCCCAAACCATCGGGTCCGGGCCTCCAAATCCTAGTTCACTTCCTGGACCTATGAGCAAGTCCAAAGCCCACGGCACCCACATATCACTTTCTTATTCCAGATCAGTCTCCTATTCAAGGTTACCTTCCCGTTCAGGTCACTTTCCTACTCGAGGTTACTTTCTTGTTCGGGATCACATTCCTATTCGAACACTGGTAAGACAACTCACCACCGCCCTAATTCCTCTAGGGTTTGTATCATAGTCACACTAGGACTCCTACTCCCACCAGGACTGGGAGACCAGACAGTCACTATATAAGCAGAGGCCAGCCCTCTCACAAGGGAGGGGAGATTACATTACACCTTCACACCCGAAGCTCCTACTTGAGAGCTTCACATCACTGCCGTAGTCACAGTCCCCAACTAGACTTCCGGTAACATCTCTACTCCCTAGCCCTCACTATACTAGTCTCTTTCAGACTTGCTGACTTGAGCGTCGGAGTGTCTACGGCAAACACCACCCCGGTGTTTTCTGTTCGTTTCATGCCTTTGTTTCTCTACGTGTACAGGTGCAGTGGATCGCTAGTGACATCAACCTCATAGGATCAGACCCCTCTTCTGTACAGATAGATTTTTACGTCTACAGCCAACTAGAGCTAGTGGTATTGGAAGGGGGTGAGAATCCAAAGGTCAAAATAAGAGAAAGGTTTATCCAATGAAAATAATAGGACGGTGGTTGATTGAGCAAGTCCACGTCAACATTAAATGTTGAGACATGGAATTTTAAGAAGGGTTATTATCCCTAAACTCCCAAGAGGTTTGAGTACCTTTGAGGTATGAAATAATATTCTTATATTTGGAAAATGGTCTCACACACCTCCTCTGGTAGGCGTTGGTTGACAATAATTGACTAGGGCTAAAGTTGTAAAATGACAAGTTTTGTGCAATTCAACAGAAAACTCACTCCATCAGCCACAAACGTACACTGTCACAACCATCGCTACTGGCAATACCTCCATTATAATTCGTCTCGCTGTCAAGACCAATAGATACACCACAAAATCCAACCGTCCAATCGACAGGAAAAAATCTTGCCCGTAAAATAGTCCATGTGCTGTCTGGCAGATAATAAAGAAGTGACACATAGCAAAATAGTTCCTGAAAAAGAACTGACACACCAGCTCAAAGCTAGGAAACGTCAAATCTCGCCGGACAATGACACGAGTAATGGGTGCCAGCACCATAAAACTCGCCACCTCAAATCTACTTAATGGTACCACTCTCATCTTTTAATGTTACTATTTTCCTTTACTTAAAAGCTACAAGGGGAGGTGTGGGATGACAAATTCAAAACGTAAAGGGAGGTAAGGGATCTTATTTCATAATTCTGGGACTGATTGGTGAGAATCAAAACTGGTAACTCCTTTCATATTAGTACTTCATGTTCAATGATTCAAAAAGAAAGAATTTTCCATTAGATTCCTTCAATATATTCCAACTTTCTTTAGGTGAGAATCTTTCATAAACACATGCGTGTTTAGTTAAATACGTTAAAGAAGGAAATCCTGCAACCCGTGGAGCAAGGTGTAATATATATATAATTTTAAATCTATTTAATATTAAATATAAATCTATTTTCAATGGCAACTCAAGGTCCAAGAATCGCCTTTACACTTTGCTCCACGGGTTGCAGGATTTCCTTCTTTAACGTATTTAACTAAACACGCACGTGTTTATGAAAGATTCTCACCTAGAGAAAGTTGGAATATATTGAAGGAATATAATGGAAAATTCTTTCTTTTTTAATCATTGAACACGAAGTACTAATATGAAAGGAGTTATCAGTTTTGATTCTCACCAATCAGTTTATATATATTTATATATATTAAAGAATGTTATAAATTTGAGATATGAATGTAAATGTTATAAATTAAGGTAAAATCAGATGATAAGATTTAGCTGCCAAATAACTGGGAATTAAAGAATGTGTCAGAAGTGCTTTAACTAGAATTGCCGTCAGAAAGACTAAAGGAATATATCATCAATTCTTGGTCTAATATAAAGATTTTTATGATTTTTTTTCTTCAGTTGAATCGTTTCAGTCCACTACCAGCAAAGCATGTTTGTCGAGTTTATAAGTCGTCTAATCATCGAGCAGACATACTGACGTTTAATATATGGTTTCGACATTTCCCATATTAAATTATAAAATTTAATACAATTTAATAACTTAATTAGTTGTTAAATAATTAGAAAATATATATTTAATTAAGAAAAGAAGTTGCCGACTTATTAATAAAAATAGATTCTAATTCTAGAGAGATTCTAGTTCTAGAGAGATGCTAAATTGGGCAAACAGTCTAATATTAATAATTTGACTCGCTTATAACCTCCAGCTGAAACTTAATTATTAATCAATGTGAACCAGTATGGTCACTAATACAACAGTGCTACATCTTTCAAACTTAAACGTGCATTTCAATGGATGTTTCAGCATGTAAACGCAATTTTTAATCTGATTCTTTTTAGTTCTAAATCATAAATCTGATACACATTTTATATTTATTTTAAACCATAAACGTAGTAAAGTCCGTGCAATAAAATCTGAAAAGACTTATAAACGACGTGATATAATACAACACAAACCTTAACATTCCAACTTTTCAACTTAAATACTAAAAAAATGGTAAAAATATGAAGAATATCCATTAATTAGTATCATTAATCATCTTTCTAATATTTACAATATACAATAAAGATTCAAAAGCCCTCAAGACTTCACTGCATGTGCTACTATTTTCTTTATTAAACTAAAATAAATCCTAAAGAACAAGAACTAGTAATTGAGATAACCATAATCTTCAACTGAAATGCTCAGCTCCTTCTCTTCCCAGCTCCTACAATCATACATTTGATTATCATTCCCCCAAAACGGCGTTTCCATGCTCTGAATTTTGCCGCTTTCATTCACCTCCCTTACTTCTTTTCCCGATCTACTCACTTTCATCTGTGCATCTATCCCCATTCCAGCGTCGGAGGCAGCTCTTTGCACGGCCCTTGGTGACATAACATTCGCGTTCACACAACTGGGAGGCAGGAGTTCGGGGAAGTTAAGGCCAGACAAAGACAGCGGTCGACGTAAACAATAAAAAGCGACATCGTGGGCGACTGCGGCCGCCTCCTGCGTAGCGTAAGAGCCTAACCAGAGCCGCTCTTGTGAGCCTGGAACTCTTATCTCTGACACCCATTTGCCCCATTTTCTTCTGCGTACTCCCTTGTATTTCTTCTCCGCCATACTTGAACTACTCTCCTCTGAGCAGCTGCTCATCATCAAGCTCTCATAAAAGCTTTTACTTAAGAGATTTAGAATGCTATGTCTTGGTAGAGTAGAAAGAAGAGGTTATATATAGGTTGAAGAAGAGACGACAGTTGGAGGGAAGAAGCCACTAGCAAATTAAGGCATGTGATTAAATAATTAATTAAAAATTTGTCAACTGGGTTTTATTGAAAGATAGAGAGGGTCAAGATTTTCAATGGTCAAAGGAGGTAAGGTAAAGGTTTTATCTAAGGAAAAATGTGGACGGTGCTTTAATGAGCAAATCCAAGTTGGCTCTGAGAGAGAGAGGACTAGAAGCCACAAACCATAACTTTAATTAAATGTGGAGCCATGGGCATTGAAGCAAAAACGTGTTGAGTAATTTGAAGCAAAAGCACTATTAGAGGGAGGGAAGAGGTCAACGCTGAAAATCAATGCATGCCTCCTCAAATCTGCTTTCCTCATGCATGATGTCATTTGACATTGTGGATAAGTTAATGGGGGAAAAAGGTTTTGAAAGTGACATCACCCGTTCTCACTGGTCGACATCACCCGTTCTCACTCGTCGACATCATATATCGTCATTACCCCTGTAATTTTATTAAATAACAACAATCCCCGTCAGGTTTTTGAGATGACAAAACATTCCTTATCATTAAGTTTTAGATGTTAAAATAAACGGAAAAAGACCAATTCGATAATTATTTATAAATTCACAATAGTGTATATTCAATGGGTTACTAAAGATCAAATGATGATTGAGAGATTTTTATTATTTCTGAAACCTCAAGAGAATCTTGTAATAGATCAAGTCATAGGGATTAATTGATGTCTTTTAACTCTTATCTATTTCTCTCATTGATTTTTGGTATCCTAGCAATATTATGGCTCGGTAACATGTTTAGGGGTACTAATCCCTTAAATTGGAATCTAAAGATTTAGAATTGTTCAAAAAATAATTAAAGAAAAAAATCAACTCTTTTGGATCCATAACAATTCCTCAATTAGAGTGATAGGTCACCTTGAAGGTTCCATATTATACATTATCAAATTGATAACATATTTAGGATTTGAAAAATGCTTAAAAATCATGTGTAACTTATAGTGTTTAAAAACTCGGCCCGCCTCGACCGGTTCAACTGGGACCCCAGCCTTCACTGGGTCAGGTTATCAATTTTACTATTCATCTCAAACCCTAGAAATAAGGATGACGATCGACGAACAATTGGTGGCTAGGATATTAGGGCTTTTGAAGAGGAAGGGTTGGTGAGTCTAAAGGTGGCGACAAAGCTTATTTTCAGTGAATGAAACAACTGGAAATCGCAAAAATGAATTAACGGCAACAGCGGGCTATTGTCGCCAATTGGCCAAGCGAACAGGGGTGGCTGAGATGAGTTTTGGTTAGGAGGCCGAGGGGAGAGTTTTCATGGTGATGGGGTGTGTTTTCGATGCCGGAAACAGGCCCTATTTAGCCTGGGTTGTCGATGCCGGCAATGTAATTTGGGGTGTTTTTGTAGGATTTCAAATCTGTAGGGACTTATGAGACATTAGTCAAACCGGTTAAACCTAGGGCTACAAACGAACCGAACAGTTCGCGAACAACTCGATGTTCGTTCAATAATTGTTTGACATTGTTCGTGAACAGTTCAATGTTCGTTCGATAATATGTTCGATCGAGTTCGAACATGGGCTGTTCGTTTGATTATGTTAGCAAACATTATACGTTCGACTGATCCATCCGTTCGCGAACAATCTGTTCGATTGTTCGTTCGTTTATGTTCGAAAAACATGGTATACATTATTATAATTTATATTTTTTTTCATTTTTTTCCTTTTTTATATTATGTTTGGTTTAGTTTGGATGAATTTTTTTTAATGGTAATCAATAATAAAATATTATGATGCTTTTGTTTTTCTTATATATATATATATATATATAATATGTTTGGATTTTTTTTTTTTCCAAATGTCATCGATAATTAAATATATAAGTATATAGCATTTTAATTAAAAAATAATAAATTATTATGATACATAACATGACAAATTTAATAATATAATAGATTGTATAATCAAATGATATATAACATAGTAAATCCAATAACATAATAGCTTCATATTTTTCCAAATGTAATCAATAATTAAATATTATAAGATAACATTTCAATTAATAAATAATAAATATAGTATGGTAAATTGATGAACATAACATATTGTATAATCAAGTGATGTATAGCATAACAAATTTAATAATATAATAGNCCACCCATTGTTAAAATTTTGGGAAATGTAGTGTTTTCACCCACAATCTTTTAAAAAACCATTTTCCACCCATTGTTAAAATTCAGATGTTAGTTTTAATTATCAATAGGCATTCTTGTCAGTTTGCAATATATATAGAGAGAGAGAGAGAGAGTAAAACCTCTTTATAGTGATACTCTATATAGGAATAAACTCTACATAGTCATAAAAAATTATATTCCCAATTTGTGATAGTTATAAATAAGAATAAACTCCACATTGTAATATGTTATAATTTTTATAATTCTCGTCTTAAGGAAAGTAGCCTCCACATTGTAATAATTATGTGTATTGTAAAAAAAAAATATGTTTTGTTACATTAAAGGTTTAAGATGAAATAAAATATTTATCTAAAGTTGCTTGGGACAATAATTTATGTTTTAGAGTTGTTACCACATCTTTTAACTTGCGGGTACATTACTCGTTAGCATGGACATTTTCTTGTTAAAGCCAAAATATTTGTAGCCTCTCAAGCATGTTTAGAGCTTCTTGGTACGAAACTTTTTGTATTTCCGTACTATCATTCTCATGATTATTTCTTCTTTCTTCTTGTCTAATTTTAGCAATGATTTATTCTTCTGTTAAAATATACATGACTTGTTGCTCATTTGGATGATTAAGGAAGACATTAATATCCATTTGATTAATATAGTGAAGTTGTCGAATCCGATCACTCAATTCTACAATGACTCTTTGATTCTCCTCTTCCACTTCAATTGTAACTTGCAATTCATCAGCATCGGGGGTCTTAATTTTGTAATGCTTAAAACAATTGGCAATTTTCTGTGGCTTCACATCTATTGACCATGCAATAACTGCATTTACAATTCCATCAAAGACAGTTATCTTTATTGGTTCTAAGACACAATCTTCTATCCGTTTCAAAAGTAGGTAATTGAAGTGTTGAATTGAAACCCTAATACTATTAAAACATGAATTAAAATCCTAATATTGTACTACTAAAACATGAATTATGAAATAAGAAATTTTTGTAACTACACCTCTATTAAGTTATAACCTTCTCATAGTAATAAAATTAGTTAATCCCACCATTATGACTATAAAGAGGTTTTACTATATATATATATATATAAACCCAATTTCATATTTTCCCTTACCAGGCCCAGCCCAAATTCCCTTACTCGGCCCAAAATCCAAATCCGTATTTACGAGTTAGTCGAACGATACGAACTGATTGTTTTGTTAATCGAACGAACACGAACAGTCATCCTGTGTTCGTTCGAGTTCGAACACGAAATCGAACACTCCTTCTTGCTTATCAAACGAGTTTCAAATAGGGTTATTTGTTCGTATTCGGTTCGATTGCAGGCCTAGTTCAACCGGTCAACTTGGGACCTGGCCACTTTGTCGAGTTTCAGCTCGAGCTAGGTTCTAAAACCTTGGTAACTTGTTCATTTTTGGTGATCTAGAATCAATTTGAACATGTGTTGTTCATTTTCAATTATAATTGTCTCAATTCTCTTATTTTTAAAAACGAGAGAAAGTCTTCAAACGGGACAATTTTCATATTCACTTAAAATTTATGGAAAATATTTATCATGCTTTTATTTATTGCATTACTCGATACGTCTTAATATATTTCGCTAATGAGTAGGTCTATATGCACCCAAATTAATACTCTTTAGTTCACACCCAATTTTTTAAAGTATAAACATTAATAAAATTTTAGAAATATTTTTTCTTTATCAACTTTCAATCAAATTGTTATTTAAATTTTATTTTTCACCTATCAAGTAACCATCTACCAATTTTATGTTAAAATTATGATAATTTTATAGTACAAATCAAGTACAGTAGAACCACTTTATAATCATAATGTTGGCACCAATTAAATTTATTACTATCAGGAGGTTATAATTTAATAGAGGTGTGGTTACAAGAATTATTGTTTTAATTTCTTATTTTATAATTTATGTTTTAGTAGTATTAAGATTTCAATTCGTTATTTTAGTAGCATTAAGATAGTACGAAAATTGATATCAAAGAGTCACTGTAAAATTGAGTAATCAAATTCGACAACTTCACGACACTAATCAAATGGATATTAATGTCTTCCTTAGTAATCCAAATGAGCAAAAAGTCGTGTATATTTTAACTGAAAAAGAAACCATTACAGGAATTAGACAAGAAGAGGAAGAAGATAATCTTGAGGATGATAATATGGAAATACCAACGATTTCATGCCAAGAAGCTTTAAACATGCTTGAGAGCTAAAAATATTTTGGTTTCAACTAGAAAGTGCCCATGCTGGTGGCTTATTATGTGCCGCAAGATAAAAGATGTGGTAACAACTCTAAAGCATAAATCATTGTCCCAAACAACTTTAAATAAATATTTTATTTCATCGAAAACCTTTAATGTAACATAACATATATTTTTTGCAATATGCATATAATTATTACTATGTAGAGGCAAGTTCTTTAAGATGTAACCTGGAGAAATTATAACTTATTATAATGTGAAATTTATTCTTATTTATAACTTGACCAAGTTGAACAGTAAGTTTTTATAACTATATGAAGGTTATTCATATATAGAATATCACTATAGAGAGATTTTACTATAGAGAGATTTTACTGTATTTGAAACTAAAACAATTTTTGTGCTAAAAAATAAATATGTTTAAAGAATACTTTATTGGTGCAAGCAAATAGGCCCACTATTTAGTGAAATATTTTCTCTAACAAATCTATATAGTACCCTGAATATTACCCAAATAAATATAAAATGTGTGTAATATTTAAAAAAAGGAGATAAGGTTCTTAAAAAACTAGGAAAGATTTTTAATTTATGAGTGAGATATAATTATTATATCTCCTATTTATTTTAATTATTACATCGTGAAAGGTGAGGAAATTGAGAAAAAATATTATACAAATTAGAAAAATGATTAACTAAACTAGGAAGATCAATAGTTTTTAGTATAAAAAAAAAAAAAAAAGATTTTTATTCCATGGCCAATAACAAGTTGGAAGATACAACAAGCAAAACATTTTAAAGTTCTGAGTACAAGTACAACAATAAAAATGTTTCCCATATTTTCACATCCCAACCAAATACCCATGTCTAAATTTTTTTTTCTAAAAAATGTAATATATCTCCAAATTACAAATTAAAGCAGTCTAAAATATTCGTCACCAAATTCACCCCTTAAAAATAGAATCTTAACAAACAAAGAATATTTCAGGTACGATTTTTAAAAAGTGACACTTTCGATCCAAAACTTATGAGACAGTGTTATTCATCTCCGTAAACCCAATAGTTGTTAGTTGTTACACAAAAACAAATTGATCATGGGTTAAGTTGAAAATCGACAAATAAAAAGTAAACCCCTTAAATATGCCCTTTTTTTTTTTTTTTTGTGTGTGTAATAGGAGATGATTTATTTAAAAAAATTATGTTTTGGTTATAATTTCAGTTTGGTTCTTGATTTGAAAAGATTAAAAAATCAAATTTGGTTATATTTAAGGGTATTTTAGTCTCTTAAGATAACTAGAAATCTAGAATAGACGTAAATGTCCGTTTTTCAAATCTGAGGACCGAATATAATTTCACCAAAACTTAAAAGGATTTAAATGTTCTTTCACTCCTAATGAGAAACGAAAAGTAGACCCTATGGTGGGCCAAATTTTGCCCTTCAGACTCGAGCGGGGTGCAAGTTTTGTAGACGCCCGTTTACTTTAATGCAATTGTAGTACAAAATTCACATGATTTTATGATAAAAATAAATAACATTCATTAATGAACTTGACTTTTTGGGAAAATGTTTGACCTGAAATTGATGAACTAATTCAAATTGGCTTTTGAGGCATCCAAAATTCCAAATACATATACTTAAAAAGACAATAAGGGCTTGTGGGAACACAATAAATCACCCATAAAGTGCTCCTTTGTCCCTTTCTGTTTAGTTTTTATTTGACTTGAAAATAGGAAGAGGGTTCTTGTAAACTTAACTAATTTGGTTAAATTCTTGTTTAAGGATCCTTTTTTATAATTAATATTTATTTTCATTGATGATGTCTCTGGAAATTTTGACTTTGAGAATGATGGACTGGCTCAATTTGGCTTTTGAATTTCCCCAAAGTCTGAAGAATTGACTTGTGACACACTAGGGCTGTGTGAGTGTGACCATTATAAATGACCCAAAAAACGTGTCTTTTTTGGACCACATATTCTCTCTTATTCATGCGAAAAAAAACAAAAAAACAATTTCACTGTTTCAGTTTGCTGACATGATAAATTTGTCAAATAAAACAATGGTTGGTGCTTTTAATTCTCAAAACCACCATTTTTGCGGTGGTTATTGATAAACGGTGGGCATTGATGAATCATGGTAACGATTTAATAAAATAAAATGTGTGGGTGTGTGTCAGCAAAATGAAATAGTGAGATTGTTTTATGTAAACTACAATTGATAGCAGAAAAATTTTCATAGGTTCATATCCAAGACTTAGTTAATATATTGATTTATTCTATAAATTTTGTAAAATTATCGAAAAATATCTCACAAAATTATCAAGATTAAATTAAATCTACTCCAAATTTTGTGAGATTACAAACTTTGATGTCGTAGTTGTGAACGAAAGTTTATAAGATTTGATTGTAAGTATAGTATTGCCTGTCTGATAGCAAAAAAAATTAACTCACAATTTAATCTTTCAAATTTTCTCTCACAATCCCGACATGACATACTTTATTTTATTTTTACCCCAACCTTTTTGGAAAAATATTATAAACCCACTAAGAAGTTTATTGAATTTCAAAAATTATTCCTACAAAATTATAAAACTCATTGTAAAAGTATCTAAAATCATGTTAGTAAAGGATGTGGAGTAATTTCTAAAAAAGAAGGTTGATAAAGTTAAATGATTCTTTAAGATTTTTATTAAGATAGTTTATGATAATAATTACTAAAGTATGTACATCTCATAAAAGATTATTTTTTTTTCCTTTTTGTGAACATCAGGTTTATTTTAATATAAAAAGAATATGAAATACAATTTCTAAATTATAAAAATTTAAATAATTTCAAAAAGAATTTAAAGGAAAAAAAATCCAATTTTGAGCTTCTCCTAAAGATATAAAACAACTTATTTTATCATCAATAAACTCTTCTTAAATTACCAAAAAAAAAAAAAAAATAATAATAATAATAATAATAATAAAAGCATTAAAAAACTCATATTACCCAATTAATAATTAATATGAAAAATAAAAAGCTTTTCTTATTATTATTATTATCTATTTTTATATTGTCCTCCCTTTCCATGATACAGAAACCAAGTTTGGTATGGGCAAATACCTCTTTTAATTGGATCTTCAAAACTATTATTTTCAGTAATAAAATGGTAGTACTAAAAATAATCATTGGAATATCATAAATCAAAAGCTAAAGTAAATAAAAATTAAGTAGTCAACAAGTTAACAAGTGGTTAATATTCAAAAATGATTGGCCTCAATGACTTGACTAAATTCATATTCATGTATCAAATTAAAGAGTAAAATCAAGCTATTCAAAAATTTTGCAAGACTCAAATATTTTCTCTTTCACTAACCAAATTGCAGCCACTTTTTCCATCTCAAATACCACAAATTGCTTCTTTATAGTTAATAAACCATGTCTCTCAAAACTTTGACAAAATATAAAAAGACTTTTCTTAGTTTCAAAAACTTCATCAACCTAATAAAGTCTTCGATAATGGAAGTATATCGCTGCAAACACACTCTCTTTATCATTGGCTGGATGAATTGCAACATAAATCACAAAAGACTTTTCACAATTAAAATTGTTATATACGTGTGACATATCAAAGAGTTGGAAATTTCATATTAAATCATTCATCTCAAACTATGTAAAGTATAGAATAATTAAAGCACATGATATAAAATTTGTGAATTTTAGCCTTGGCGGCGTCTACATCAATTTTCAAAAATACAAGTTTGTTGTACATATAATTGATCTTACTGAATTTGGAACATAAATAAACATCAATTGATGTAATTTTCGAACAATATACAACAGCAAGAGAATACATTTGAAGGTTCACTAGATTATACATCAAAATGTGTTATGACTAAACAAAGAAACTATATTCCAACAAATCAGAGAAATTCTTTAAAAATATCTTTTTTTGGAGACAAATTCTTCTCATTTTTTTAAGAAAAATGTTGAAATCTATTTTAAAGCATTTGAAACCGAATAAATAAAGTCCAAGAAGCCAGTTCCTTTGAGAAGGCCCTTACCAGTCAAGAGTTCAAAATCTAACAACAAAAGGAAGCCAATTACGGCAGCCTTCCCGTTTATCAATTCATTTTTTCGGGTGAAGCCAAACCCCTCTGAATCTTCATCAACCACCATTCTCACCTGTGACATACCATAAACAAACAAATAAAACAGGAGAACTCAAACTACTAATTTACTATGCAGACAAGACTAAGCTTTGCAGTGACCTCATCAACATTGACATCTGTTGCAGTTACTCCGGGTTGAGCTTTTCCACTAAAAACAATCTCTGCAGCTGCATCCGATTTTACAGCTCCTCTCATATTGATGTAAATATTTTCTTCATCAGTTTTTACAGGATAAACAAACAGTGTCCTTAAAGCAGGTGTAAGAACTCTCAGTACAGGGTTTTTTGGATACCACTCCTTGATGTCTCCAGTCCGAAGATCAAATATGCTATCAGTTGTAGGGCAAACTATACAACCCTCCTGCAGAAAAGAAGAGACAGATAATCAAGTTTTTGTTTATCTCACCCCAGGAAATCACAACAAGAAAGTTCTAAAATGACAGGGCATGAACATGAGACAGAAATGTCAGATGTAAATTGACAGGTCCACAGTATATTTCACAACAAATCTGTAGATCCTTTACCAGTCATGTTTTTCTGTTGATTCAAGGAAACAATTCAATTATGTACCAGTGGGTCAACAACTATATCCATCTTGATTATCATAAGCTGTTTGTGTGCAGATTATGAGTCCAAACTGTAAAACCTTTGGAAACCCTGTGTAAGGCTGATAGTTTCAAGGTTTCACAATCCGAATTTTTTGAACAATGGAAAATTCATTCATGAAACTAAGAAACAAGCAGTCTATTGATGCTTTAAAACTCACAAATTTTTGGCATAAAGAATCAACAAGCTAAAACCAATTCAGTAATATGAATAAGTGGAACCATTTCTATTAAACCTGGACTATGACATCTTTAGTTGTATTTATATTTAACCTTTCCCCTCATTCATAAGAAGCAAAGGAAAACAATAAAATAAAATCTCAATATCACTGAGGTAACAATATTAACTGTTTTCCACATGTTAACTAAAAGAGGAATACATGTAGATTCTTCTCAAAACAATCTTGTGTAATACCTTGGGCTAGTACAGATTTGTGCAAGTACCCTAAATCTATTTTGTCATCTTCATTTCTAAGCCACTCAACAGTACATGTTACATTTAGCCTCTTCTCCTTAAGCATGGAATCACAAAATCATAACACATTCCACTTTGTGAAGCAAATCTATCATTGTCATCAAAAGAGTACTAGGTCCAATTCTCTGCAGTCACCATGACACAATTCATGCACTCAGCAATTAGCATGAGCAATGAAGTGCACAATTTGGCACTTCTCCAACCAGGAAAACAGTGATCGGATCAGAGGAACACCCCATGCCCGGTCTAATGCAATGTCTATAGGCCTGGTTAACCAACAGAAATTCCTCAAATACTAAAAATTCTTAACTAATAAAGTTTCTTTCAAAATTTATGATCTGAAGCCCCACATGTCAGATTACTTCTCACTTACCATAGAGGAAGCAAGTTCTTCTAAGAGAGAACACTCTCCATGACACCAAATCCACAATGCAAGAGCCATGAAACACTCAACAAGTTCCACTTAAAGCACTTCATTGCAAAACAGGAATTAGTTCAGCTAGATCATATATTTCCCAAAGAGAAGCGAAACCAAGTTTGTTGATAAATAACCCAATTCTATGTTTTAAAAAAAAAAAAAAAAAATTCAATTCCAAATAACTTGACCAAAATAAAAATTTACCATATAGCTTTCAACAGACGAACTTTGCACTAATTATACTCAGAACTTCTCACTACTAATATATTCCAGGCATTTTGTCATATAGGTTTCACAATCGAACCCGAAACAAGCGTTAGTAACCCACATGCCTAACCACTCTAACTAGACACTCTGGCTTCTCCTCACTACTCACATACAACATTCAACATTAACAAAACATGATGTCACAAATTGTCACACTACAATCTAACGGGACTTTTCCTTGATGCACAAAAGTACACGAAATTATTAATTCGATCCAAAAGTTCCAGAATTTTAAGTAAACATCCCCTTAGTAAAATTTTCGTAGGAACTTCATCAAATACCTGGGTGAGTTTGGCATTGAGCAAGCCTTCAGTATAAGCACCTTCAGCAGGGGACTTATTTTCAATCGCAAAGACTTCATCTTTATACCACAAAAGCAATATAGTCTCCCCATCTTGTATAATCACGCGCCGCTCTCCCTTCGGCAGCGCCGCCAGCGGCACAACGGGAACCCAGTTGTCTCCTCCGTCTCCGGACGTCGAAGACCCCTCCGCCACCGACACTTCGGCCGCCTTACACGTCAGTTTCCGGCATGTGGGTGTGGTCTTCGGAGGAGCAAAATGGTAATTCAGGGACAATGCGTGGCGGGTTGTTGAAGTGGGAGGACGGAAGGGTGGAGCACGACGGTGGGTAGTGGAGGAGGAGTGTGGAGGGGTAAAAAGGTAATTTTGGGAGAAGGGTGAGGGCGTGCTGGCCATGGAGATTTTTGTGAAGAAGAGAAGTGAAAGGGAGTAAGGGAAAGGGAAGGATATTGCATTGCCACAAAAAGTGGATAATTTGGAAGCATGAAGGGGTGTTTGTGTAGGTTTGTGAACCACAATTTTTATATTGTATTTTGCTTTGAATTTTAATTTAAAAATAGTAAGAAAATATTTTCACAATTTTGGGATTTAAAAAAAAAAAAAATTCAATTTTTTCGGATACAAGATTGCTTAATATAAATATTTTCTTTTTTTTGGTGACGAAGGGTATCTGCCTATCTGGGTCAGCTTATGAGCACCTCAACTAATCTCCTGTGGTTTTAAAGTTGACAATCAGATAAATCTCTATTAGCAACTCAGGTAGATCGAACTTAAGATATCTTGAGTAATACATCCAAATGTCATAATTGACTAGTTTAGTATAATTATTCCCTTTCTTTTAGAAAGTATTATGTAACTCTTTGATAGTAGATTTTTTAATAATTTTACGGGGAATGTTTGATATTTGAAGGATTCTTTTGATAATTATAAGAATTTAAGAAGATGACTTATTACTTAATACTAAACAGTTCTACAGGGCGAAAATGAAATAAACTCTTTTAAAAATGACCAATCTTTCATATTTTTGTATGGCTAAACCCACTGTGATAATTGATATATTGGGGTGATTTATTAAGAAAATAATAGTTTAATTTGGCTATGTTTAATACAATTGGATGACTTGGTTATTGTTGAGCACAGTAGTTAATCGGCATCCACACGCACAAAAAAAAAAATAATAATAATAATAATAATAAATAAGGCAAGTTAATTATATATATATATATATATATATATGTTGCAAATGTAATGACTATACTACCCTTACATCGCCCGTTCTTTACCAAAATTCATCATCATTCTATTTAATCCAATGTTCATTTATCTCCACACAATTCAATCTTCAAAGTTCAAACCAGCAATTAAACAAAGTCGAGTATCCCATCTCGCCGTCGGGAAAGCTGGTGATGATAATTCAATTTTTTATTTTTTTATTTATACTAATATATAAAAATTAAACTTCATGGTTTAGTATCTATTTGCATCTAGGGCTGTCAAAAAAAAAAAACAAAAAACTAAAAATCGAACCTAACAAAAACCGAATCAGAAAACTAGTTTTGCAGATTAATCAATTCGGTTTCGATTTTTAAAAATGATTAAACCAAACATCTAATTCAATTAACGTTTAAGGATAATATTAAATTAATTAACTAAAACCGGTTTTAAAAATAGGTTTTGAAAAAAATAAAAAAATATCCATTATTTTTTCCCCCACTTTTTCTTGAAATTTGGTACGCAGAACTGACTGCAGTCTACTTCACTGCGCATTTTCTTAGGTTTGCTTCTCCACGCCAGTACTTTTTTTTTTGTCTTCTTTTCCTTTCACTGTTTTCCCCTTCTTCTTCTCCTTTCACTCCTTTCTCTTTCTTTTTTTTAGTTGTTCTTCACATTTTCGCCTTCTTCTCTTCCTCTTCTTCACCAATTTCTCTCTTTTTCCTCTCCTTCTCCACTTTTCCTTTTCTTTATCGTCTTCTTCTCCTTTCATTTTTCTGTTTTTTTTTCTTTTTCGTCTTCTCCATTTCTTCTCTTTCACTACTTTTCTGTTTGGATTTGGATAAGAGGCGAGAAGAGAACGTCATGATTGGACTTCAGCCTTCTTTTTCTTCAATGGTTTGGTAGATTTTTAGCTTTAGGGTATGTTTGGAAGCTCTGCGTCTGCATTTTTGTTTATGAGAAGTCTCCATGAGACTAAGTGAGACTGATTCTGTGCGTCTCTTCAGGTGTTGGTTTGTGTAAGTGCTAGATTCTGATTTGGGGTATTTGAAATCGACGGCTTTGAGGCACTCATTTGATGTCTTGCTATTCTAAAAGGGCAATTTCAAATTTTATTAAAATAAGTTTATAAACCGGTTAACCGATAACCAAATCGAATTATCGGTTCAGTTGATAATCGGTTCAAAGGATAATTCGGTTAGGTTTCGGTTCGAATTATCCTCTAAACCGAAAAACTACTTCAGTTTGAAAAGTATGTAATCCAGTTCAGTTAACTGGATTTCCACACCCCTATTTGCACCAAATATTTTAGATTATATTATATGCATTAATATATTTAATTATAATAATTGGTACTAGTTGAAATGTTTTTTGGGGGTTCGAAATTAAGCAAATTTGGATGTAGATTTAATTATAAATACATAATTGCTTAAAATTTCAAATGTTAATAAACTAAAATTAGCTTATAAGTACTTATTGCTTATAAGTTAATTTTCATAAGTTCAGACAAATACCCCCTATATTTAGATACTTTAGAGTTATCTTAATTTGGGGGATTATGTATTTTAAGTGTTTTATCATAATATCATATAATCATAATGGATTAATATATTTTCCCACAAGACGAGTGTTGTGTGTGATTTTTCCATCAAGTTCGGGCTACTGCGAGGAAAGGATGTAGCTTGATTCAAAACCAACTCGACTCCAACGATTGTCCAACCCAACATAAGGTCATCGAACTCTAGTTCAACAGCTATTCGCGAACAATCTGTGCGGCTTGTTCAACCAATTCCCATATAACTCCAGATCTCAAATATCTCGAGAGAAATCAGATTAACAACAATCTTTGTGCAATTACAACGTTTAATCGCGAGAATATCAGAGTTGCATTTCAAATCAATTGTAATCTTTTTATTTTTGCTCTTTCCTTTGTACCAACGTTGTATATATACCCCCTGAAATGATTAAAAACAGTTAGAAAACTCTCATAAAATTCATGTTGTAAGCTCTCACGATAAATACAAGAACCGTGGACGTAGGGTTAAGAGTTTATCTCGCTGAATCACTTTAAGGATCTCTTTGTCATTTACTTTTTATATTTATCATTTGCTCATCGCTGATTATCTATAATCACATACACATCAATTCTGATCTCGTCAAGGTCAATCAAATCACTCAACTGGTTCAGATTTCTGTATCAACAAAGAGATTCTTTTATATATTTATTTTTAGAAATTAGAGATACTTAAAACATTATTCGGGATATTTTTAAATTTAGTCACAAAGTATCATTAAATATTTAATATTCATGTGTGTTTCATATACATGAATTATAATTAATCATAATATTATAAATTTACAATTCTATCCCACCCAATAAGGGATTGGTGGGGACGGGGGGCTATTTAGGAAACTAATGAGATGCTCATAACACTAACAAAAAGACACTCAATACTTCAGCAGGATCTACACCCATTTGCAAACGCAACCTTTTTCTCATCTATGTAATCTCGGGCTGTTCAAAAAAATCCGATATCTGGTATCTGATCCTGTACCGCTTTGCTCCGATCCGAAAAAAATCAGATATCCAAAAATTCGGATCGGATACGGATAATAATTTTAGAAAACTGAATATTCGGATCAGATACCGATCAAGATTGTCAAAAAAGCGATATCCGTATCCATCCACTTTACTAAAACTTTTTGATTTTTAAAATAACCTTACAAACCCAATTTTAATTTAACTCAAACTCAACTCTCGTGTCTCTCTCGCTCGACACTCGACAGACGATAGTCACAAACTCACGACTCAACCTCACCATCGCCATCTTCATTCTTCAGTCTTCACTTACAGTCACCAACTCACCATCGCCATCTCTCTCACTCACTCCTTCCCCATCAAAGCCAAGATCGTCAACAACCCCAATCGTTAGTTCCTCTCCTAAATCCCTAATTGAAGCCCCAAATCATCGTAGTATTTATTCATCTCCATATCTCATCTCTTATTTTACCTTCCATCTCCATATCGTAAATACAAATATCCCTAATTTTTTGTAGTGGTTGATTTCCTTTTTCTGGTAAATACCAGAAATGGGTTTTTAAATTTCTTTAGATTTGCTGAATTTTCTTTTTCCCTTCGAATTGTAGTTAGGGGTGTTATCGAGCCGAGCCGAGCCGAGTTTTCGGCTTAACGAGCTCGGCTCGTGAGAGAAGATAAGTCACGAGCCGAGTCTGAGCCAAAATTATACGGCTCGGCTCGCGTCGGGCATAGATATTTATTATTTCGAGCCGGCTCGGAGCCGGCTTATCGAGCGACGTTCGAGCCGGCTCGCGAGCCATCTCCAAATAAAATTTTTTTTTTTTTCAATTTATTTTCCAAAATTTCGGGCAGCAGTCTGCCTCTGAAATATTTTTTTAGTTCAATCCCATATGGATTTTATCTCCCAAAATGGATTATCATTATTTTCTAGTGTGTGTTTAATTAATTTTATATGGAAACCATTAACTCGCATTTTTTATAATTATTTGTTACATGAATTAATGATCATAGGAGCTGCATGTATTTCATGTCACACAAAATAATTCTATACTGCTTCATGCAGTAAGCTAAATTTTTTTCGACATCCTCAAACAGTCAAACTAATGGTAAATGCTAAATTTTCACTTTTCACAAATTATCATTTAACTACTGTTGTACCACAAATTAAGTTGTGAACTAAATATTTTTGTTTAGTTCACTTGACTTAATAAAGTTTTCACAAAAACAAAATGGGGGATTAGCATAACTATACATCAATGACATCCCCATCACAAAAAATATATATAAAGCAAAGATAATTGGCTGTATGTCTATGTAGCCCCACCCTCCTACAAACAAATTAATGTGAAACATATTATATAATTGTCATTTATATAAACCGTAAAGATGAAAATGCAAACCTCAACAAAAGTAATAATATAGACCTGCAAATCCCCCTGTCACAGCCAATAACTTACGAGTGAATCAACCAATCTGCTGACTCCCATCACCTGATAGAATACGAAGCTGAATCTCCAAGTGATCCTCATCCTCCTCTTCTAAGATGAAAAGAGATGAAAAAGAGATAAAAATAATTTATAGGTTAGAATAAGTTATTTTAAATATAATAAAAAAAAAACATGTAAGCATGGAACTACTTTGCACCCTTTTTTCACTCCATTCAAAGTGCGACACCAGTCACATCCACATAACACCATCTCCACAGTAGCTGTGACAAGAAGCTCGGT